CTCAATTTTCTACCAGCATAAGAACATCAATATGTATCAGAAAATGTAATAAAAATGAGGCTGATTTTGAAGCCATCATTTTGAAAAAGCATGGGCCTAAAAAATTTGGTCATTTAAAAAAATACTAATAATTTGAAAAATATTTGCCAGAATCAGCTCAAACTTTCTACACAGCATAAGGACATCAATATGTATCAGAAAATGTAATAAAAATTGAGGGTAATTTTGGAGCCATTTTTTGAAAAAAACCATGGCCAATGGTTTTTTGTTTTTGCCTTTGCTTTTTTTTCAAAAACTGGCCCGTTTTAAAAATGCTCATAGCTCAAAAAATATCCGTACAACCAGTGCCTATTATTGAGGCTTACTGAAGGAAACATGATCAGTGCTGCTTGAAGCTTCTGATCAGCTTCTTCTAGAGAAGTAGCTCTTGCTTCATCCTCAGATAATGAGAGACTCTGATGGAAGAATGCCAGTGGAATGGAGAATGCACAGTTAGGAAGCTGAGACAAGTTCCTTTTAGCCTAAGGGGAGGAAGGAAGAAGAAAAAAATAGAATAAGACACAGAATTACACATGGAGAAAAACTTTTGAGATTTCGTCATTTCCATATTTAAAGCGCTTTTTGAATAATGTACATGTAAATTGTATGTGTCACTAATAATGTGTGTGTTTAGAGCTCACTCCCCATCTCTTGTCCATGTCAATGAGGAACTGATAGTCACAGGCTCTGACAGCATAATAGTCAATCATTAATAGAACACACAATGGATCAGTCTCTGGATCCAAACTGAAGAAAAGAAAATACATAGTCCAATAACAATCAATAACAAAGAACAGTGCAGCTCTCTTTATGCATGTATTTTATTGAGGCATAAATGTACATGTACAACAGTACAAGTACATATGTACATGTACATGAATGTCTCTTTCTCTCTCTCTCTTCTTACCTCATTAACATTTTACAGAACTCAAAGGCAGTTCTATGACAGCCTCTAGTACCAACATAATTAATGTGATGAAA